CAGTGCCTTACAGCACCCAGAGGTGAGAGGGGAAATAGGAGACTTAGTCTCTCTCTCTCCACAGAGGAGACTTAGGACCAGAGAAAGGAGGGCCGCGTTGAGTAGCAGAGCTGGGGCTGTGTGCAAAATCCTGAGGCAGGCACCGATCCAGAGAGGAGAGCGCTGGTAACTTTTCTCAGATTTTCAAAACATTCCATACCCCCAAACACACGAATGACTACTAAAACTAACTAACCACCATCACCGTAGGAACTGCCATGGATTGCGTGTTGACCATATACTAGGAGAATGGGGATACCTCAAAGGGCTGTAAGGAGGATGAGCCAAGAGGGTATTTGTAAAGCACTTAGAATGGCACCTGCCACAAGCAAACACTCTGTAGGCTTTAGTTATATTTTCCCATTGTAATTATTATTATTATTACCCATTATTATCACTTTCATTGCCTCATTAGTCTTCACAAAAACTTTACGAGGTATGTATTATTATCGATCCCACTTTATAGAACAGGAAATAGAGACTTCAAAAGATTAAGGAATTAGCTCAAGGCCACAGACTAGCAGAGAAGGATCTCAAACTTGGCCTGTCTGGTTCTCACGCCCAGCCTGGCCCCCAGTCGGGATGCTCTAAGAGCAGGGGGCAGGAGGACTCCCTGAGAGCGGGGAGGAAGCAGGTGGGCAGGGCTGGGAGGCCCCAGACGACCCTGGCCCCTGGCCCTGGATCAGCCAGCCAGAGGGGAAAACAAGCCTGGGGTTTTCCACTGAAAGGGCCAGCAGGTCATGCTAACTTTGCACCTCTTCTAATCAACAACAGAAAGCCAAGCCACTTAAAATAACAATGATTTAAAAGGAAAACCACCCTCTCCAATGGCCATCCCTAGGCTCCAAGAGTGAGCCAATGTCTTGGGAGTTCTGTGAGTTCAAGGAGCACAGCAGGGGCCACCCCAGTGCTTGCTGGCTGAGCTCCAATGTTTCTTCTTCCAAACTAACACATAACTCTGCTGAACACACCACTCAAAAGCCAAAAAGATGCCCCTAGGTTACCATGGCAACGCTAAACAGACAAAACATTTAACCAGCTCTGACGCACACACAAGCTTATTTAAGGGCTAAAAGGGCTGATCTGGTGGGGGAGAAGGAGCGGAAAGAGGGCAGGAGAGGGGAGTGTTGTTCCTACAGCTTTATCTCTAAGGATTTGGCCCCCAAAGTATCTAGGTCAGACTGAAATGGGGCAGACTGAGCCAAGCTTGCTGGGCAAAGGGAAGCCACTGCCCAGCCTCTCTGTCTGTCGATTGGGGTCATAGTCCTGTTTTACAAGGGCTGAAAGATGGACGCGGGGAGTTGCAGATGCCAATGGTCCTAGCTCTGCCTCTCCCTGGGGACAGCCTTCCACTACCCAGCATTCCAATCTCCTCACCCCAAAGTGGGGAGGTGCTATGCCGGCCACTGCAGAGTTGGGAGGATCCGATGTGCTCCTGAGTATAAAATCGTTCGTAAACCTGAAGACGTTAGTGCTGATGTTAAAAATATTAACCGCCATTTCCCACCAGGAAGCGCTTTCATCTTCCAGATCCCATAGTTCAACTTCCAACCACAGTTGATGACCACGGTTAGTTTCCTTCAGGAAACTTTGCTCCTAGGTCCAAAGAGGGTTGCTCTGCGAGCTGCGGCAACCTGGGGAGTGACGATGAATGCATAAGACTTGTCCCAGGTCTGAAAGGACCACCGTGCCTTTGGGGACTGTCATATTCTGGGGTCTTCTATGCCTCAGCCCTCACCTTGGACACACATGGCAAAGGGCTGATGTTGCTAAGAAGCTGGAAGAAATCTCACTAGACAGAGCTTAGAGCACTTGGGGAGGATCAATGAACATACATTGCAAAACCGTCTTCAGCAGGGTCTGTGACATCCTCAGGTAAACAGGTTCTCCAGAAATGGGAATCCTTGTCCACCCATCACTCCCCTGTGGGGAACCCTCTCGCCTGTCTAGACTCACTCCTTAGAAGTTATTCTAAAACCTCCCCTTGGCTCGGGGTGGAATGGGCCCCATGGTGCCCTGCACAGATGCCTGTGGGAGCAGCTGCACTGCTCTATCATTCTACTTGTTCTCTGGTCTCCTGCCTGCTCATCGCTGAGCTCCCTGAGGGTAGGAATCACATCTTGTTCACCTGGGGTATTCACTTGGCCTAGCCCAGGGCCTGGCACTAGTTAGCACGCTGTGAATGTTTGCGGATTGACTGTCTAAAAGTATGCAAAGCTATGCCCACGCTGTGCAGCGATGCCCATGGAATTCTCTAGTCCATATGCCACAAGTATCTGCTTTCATGTTCCCATTCTCTGGGGAGAAGGCGGGTCTTGAAGCAGAGCCTGAAGTGCAGCAGTTAGAGTAGGGAATGGAGCAGCGGACAGCCCGTGGGTCGGGAGGGGGAGGGTGGGAGGAAAAGGCAAAGGCTTGTGCCCTACCCGCCAAATCAAAGTTCATGTTCTTACCCATAGATAAGCTGATGAAATGAATTTACCCCTTGAAAACTGGAATAACACCCATTCCTCCTGCTCTGAAACAAAACTGCTTTTCTTTGGCTCCATTATTAAGGCATCCCCCCCCACACCGCCCCGGCCCAAGATGCTGTTTTCTTAGGGAGTGAGCACGTTAACTCCATTCTGATTATTGTCAAGGAAACGACAGTTGCCCTCCCAAAAGGTACACTCCCCAAGTTCTCAACTCATTGTGTGTCATTCTACTTTTATCAGCATGATGCTTTCCACATACCTTCTCCTCTGGTCTTCTCCAAACAAGCAACATTTAGCAAATAAAAGCAACAAATCTCTGTCATTAGCCACCCTAAGTAAGGCCTAACTGGGAAGTTAACCTAGGAATCTAGAAATGGTGGCCCATCCACTATGCTATATTGTTAAATTACGCTTTCTGTGAGTCGAGATGCCTAGCCTCATATGCTCATGCACAAGCACGGGTGCCCTGTTAGTCAGAACAACACCCTGGCTTGTCTGCAGGAACTTCCCCTGTGCCCTAGACCGGTTCTGCCTTATGAATTTGTCACTGTTTTGTAATATAGGAGAAAGGACAATGGCCCTGTTGTCCTTATCATCATCTTTCTCATTTCCTACAGAGGGGAAGGACTGTGGCGGAGGCTCTTACATCTTCCTGGACCCACATCCTGTAGCTGAACTATTCTCTGCTACGTGACCACCAGACCATGTCTTCTTCCCTGCCCTTAAGCTGAAACTAATTATCACTGGCAATTATAGGATTTTATATTCCTGTGTTCTTAAAAAAAAAAAAAAATCCATGAAAATAAAGCCAGTACTTCCACAGCTGAACGAGCTCTGGAGAAACCACTACAAAATCGCACTGGTGCTATGGTAGTATTTACACATAAAATATGTACACGGAAAGCAGAATTTGCATGGAAGGACCTGATGTGACAATCTTATTTTATAAGTGTGAAAGTGGACTTTAACAACAAACAACACCCCCAAGAGAAGGTGTGGAAAATACAAATGTTCCAAATAAGGTTCACAATCTCCAAATGTCAGTTCTACACATGGATCACCATGGGCTGGAGCAAATGCGTTGATAACCATCCCAGGGGAAAATGCTGCATCTCTTTCATGTGCAGATATGATTGCATGTGTAAAATACTTGCCCTAAAATTAAGTCTTCTATCGTCCAAATTTTCCCAATTATTAATACACTAGACAGCTGCAGCAGCTCTAGCAAAAATAGCAGCCAAGCTTTTCCAAAAGTCAACACAGCCATGAGATGTCTGCTTGGGGGCTTCCCTGTGTAAGGAGTGGTTGCTCAGGATCAAACAAACAAACAAACAAAAAAAAAAACCAGTCTCCAGTGGAGCAAAGAGAAAAAGAAACTTGTTTCCGAATGTACACCAAAAAATGACTCCCCCACCCCCCACACACCCACCCTTGTTATAATAAAAAGTTTTGTGCATGAAAAAAGTCGACTGAAAAGGTTTCTGTCCAACTCACTGGGATAACAAACAATTCAGAAAATTAGACAGTACACCCAAAGGATGCCAGTCACTTCGGTGTATTCTGGAATGAGACTGTCAAATTGTACCTATTCAAATGAAACGAGATGAAGTTAGAAAACAAATTATCCCTTGTTTTAGATTTCTGGAAGCAAATTATGTCTGGGGCGGGGGGGTGGGGGGAGTTGTCCTTAGGTTGCTACCTTCATATTTTAAACAGGATTAGCATCATCTAAACACACTCTGGTAATATACATTCTTTGTGTAAATATCCATGTGTGAAACGCGTTTGGGGGTGGAGGGTAAAGTTAACTGCTCAGAGCATCACAACTTAATGTTTTCTCAACTCAACAGGGATCATGAATTTCAATTCAAAGGTTATGTGCAGAACATGCAACAAAGAATAGATTTTTAAAAACTGTTTTATTTTTATTTTTTTGAAAGCTTTACTCTCGGAGCTTAAGCAGGCACATCACAGCAGAGAGAATATCACTTGTCAAGGTTACGTGGAGAACGATGTGGATGTAACTCACTTCACATTTCCTGTCGCAGTTCTGATTTCACATCATTCTAACCTTTAACAGAAATCAGACCACACGCCCCAGATTCTGAACAGTGAGATAGCATCACCTCATCTGTGCCTCAGCTCCATACACAAACAGAAAGTGTGGGTCTTTCAGGAAACAGAACAAGTCATAACAGTTCAAGTTCTAAGCAAGCATATGTTTGCACCAGTTCCGCATAATCCGTTTCTAAGAGCAAGGACCATAGTTCATTTCTGCTGTCTCTCCATGTACGTAAAAATCACAGCCATTTTTCAGTAAATGCCAACAAATGTCAAAAGAGCACACCACAGCTACTTGGAAATAGCTGTTCATTTATTAATATAATCCCCTAGAGTAAAGCTTATGGTGTGAATGTTTTCGAGATGGTCAGTATCATTTAGAGGCAGGGCCAACACAATGCAAACACTCTCTACCCGTGTACCACTTACCATTTGCGATCTGTTCTTCGGACAGCCATTGATGTCTTCAATCTTTTCATTTGCTGAAAAAGGAAACACAAGTCAGAAAAATTAACTACCACCACAGACACTGTGTTTTGTGATGTTCAGGACCCTTAAGGCCATCCAAGTCCAAAGGCCCGGAGTGGGGTTTGTCTCATCAGCACAGGCATGTGGAATACTGAGAGGCATCTAGCAAGCTTTAGGACTTACTCATTGAGCCGCTGTCCTCCAGGGACAGCTGGGGCAAGGTCGTCATCATCTAAAGCAGAAACAACTGCATTGACGACAGTCTTAGAGTGATGGGGCATCGTGGAAATGTTGCAGACTGGGGAACAGGCTGCGCTGTGATTGTGCTTTAGGCTCTTAGGTAGACAAGCTCAACCTCCCCACAAAAGATGGGATGGTTCAGCGTGGATTAGTCCAGCTCCGACTCAGCTCCAGGGGACAAAAGCTTCAGATGATAACATTTCACCCTACCTTTAGCCAGAAATACTAACACTGCTTTACACTAATAGGATTACTAATAATCCTATTCCCAAGTGGTGGCAAAGAGAGAAAATGAAAGAATGAGACTTAAAAATGGCTCATCCATTTGGACGTAGTAAGTCCAAATTAGATCTGGGATACTCTTTGAGGTCGTAATAGCTCTTACCTACTAAGAGAAGTGAAAGGAAGAAGGTGCATTGAATTAACTGGAAATCAAATACCAATAACAGGGAAGAAAGGCCCAGCCTCCCATGGTGAAGTATGGAGGACGCCCTGCAAGATGCAGCCCGAGGCATCTGTGGAGGGATTAAGTGTGCAACTGCAGCTGTGCAAAAACAGCACTAGGTACAGGGGTCAGGACGCTGGCTTTGGGGGCAAAACACCAGTGTGAATCCCAGCTCTACAGCTTCTTAGCTGTGTGACTTCAGCTATGTCATTCAACCTCTCTGAGCCAAAGATTCCACATCTGTGAGATGGAGCTCAGACTACCAACTTCCCAGGAGGGGCTAGGAGAAATAGATTATATGAGGCCAGTGAAATGCTTACTTAGCCCAGGGCCCAGCACACAGTGAGTGGTTTATAAATGGTAGCTATCATTAACCCAACAACATACAGTCTTACCATCTATGTAAAATATATAAAGTTAGAATTTCCTTTTTTGATGTCGCCATCTGGGTCAAACCCAGAAACTCAGCTGGGACTCCATAGCAAAGAGCTATGCATTTGTCTTCTCTGGGAAGCCAGCTTGTTCCCCAACTCTGCGATCTTTCACCGCATGCCCCGCCCCAGCAGGAGAAGGCACTCTCAGTTCTCTGGGACTCTCAGCTCCCTGCGCCTGCCTCTGTTTTGCTCTTACTCATCCAATGTGTAACTGACTCCTTTTCTACAGACATGGAGATTTTGTTTTTCACATGTATATCCTTAGGGCTCATAAGTGCTTGCAAAATTGAATTCCAAAAAAATATCACATCCAATTTTAATGAATTTCATGCCTAAAACATGAAGAGAAAAGACATTAAAAACGGTCTAAAATGGGTAACGGAGTCATAGTGTCCCAAGCCTCAAGGACTTTAGGACACCCGAATCTAAACATAGCTCTCCACCTCTTCAGTTGCGCGTATTTTTTTTTTCTTTAGTGTTTCTACCTTGAAAGAGCAGTGAAAAATAATGCAAACTAGTGACAAGAAATTGTTTAAAAATTGAATTATCACGAGACTCCCTGGATGGTATACACACAACCTAATCTACACTGTCTTTAGACTTTGTCAAAAGTAAGTTTGCAAAAAAAAAAAAAGGTAAAGTGGGCTTATGACCCAGTGGGGAGGATCTGTAGTGAGCCCACTGTGTTTTCTCAAGAGAACACTGGGATGGGCATTTTAGAAAGCCCCTTCTACCACCTGCCTCCCCTGCTCCCAAAGGAGATGCCACAAAGCATTTACAAAGCACGTAAAAGATGCCCAATGAATGGAATTAAAATGAATGGATATTTGTTCTTCAGTACACCAGAAAGTAGTAAACGATGCCCAATGAATGGGATTCTGATGAATGGATATTTGTTCTTCAGTTCACCAGAAAATACGATTAGCTGAATAAAACACTAGCATGTAAACGCCACAAGATCAAGGACTTGTATCTGCTTTGTTTTCTACTGTAGGCCCAGAGCTTAGGACAGTGCCAGACACACAGTAATCACTCAGTCAATATTTGTTGAGTGGAACTAAGGAAAGAGTACTCTGACCATTTCAAAGATTCAAGTGTTTCTGCCTGTTTTGTGCTTTCACTTGTAAATATAGATATACATAGGGAAGACTTTTAAAAAATGATCTTTGACAAAAGACACTTTCCCATACACGGCAGGCCTGCATTCTGACCTTGGATTCTGATGTATCACATGGAGAATAAATGTGTAGCTTTGGGGTGTCAATGACACGTAAGGTATCTTCCAACTGGATACTCATGATGGCCAAACTCGTAAGTCATCAGATTCTAATCAATACCCAATTCAATATTAGGTCATTAGTGTTCATTAAAGTGAAGGGTGGATAACTATGACCCTAAGATACAATTTTAAGGATTCTTTATCATTCATCTGGATAAATGAAATGAAAGGCCTTGTTCTAATTACTCCTCTAATTCCTTTTCATGGTCTGCCACCTAAACCATAGTCAGATGCTCCTTGAATTCAAATGATCATGACTCCTATAAGCCTAATTCTGCCATTTATAACATTCAAAATAAACAGTGGAGTGGAGTCTATTTATGAACATGCTAACAGATATATGGGAAGAGATAAATCAAATGACTAAGCCCAAACTCAAAATAAATGCTTAATAAAATGCAAAGTGAGTCATGGACCTCCTAGTTTCTAATTTCATGTAATTTAAAGACTTCTTTAAATTCTCAAGTATGTCTATGGTTGTCATAAATACTTACAGTGATAATAGCAGTTCTGATTCTGCTGGTAAAAAGGAAGGAAAGCTTGATCTTCAGAGCCAAATTGATTAAATCTTATAGGGGGTCTTTAGCTACAGTCCCAAGGCAGAAAACCAGATGCAAAAGCATTGCCTGCAAAGTCCTCAACGGTGATTACAACCAGCATCCCTAAGTGCTAACAGTAATTTATTTATCCCAGTGTATTCAGTACATTCTTAGCCCATTAATGCAGTAACTTATCTGCACGCAAGGTAACAAGTTAGTAACCGGAAAGCATTAGTGCACTTTTTATTTTTTTAAAGACTTTTATTTATTTATTGTTAGAGGGCAAGGGAGGGAGAAAGAGAGGAAGAGAAACATTGTTGTGAGAGAGAAACATCAACTGGTTGTCTCTTATACTGCCCCACCTGGGGATGGAACCCACAGCCCAGGCGTGTGCTTTGACTAGAAATTGAACTGGCAACCTTTCACTTTGCAGAATGATGCCCAGCAAACTCAGCCACACTGGTCAGGGTCATTAGTGCACTTCTTAAATAAGAGGAGTGACATCAAGCTCATTATTTTCCAAAGACTCTCTCTGATAAGTTGAGAGCATTTCACCAGCCCATGCATCCATATGGGGCATCTATGCATGTGCATTGGGGAGCAGGCAGCCCTACCAATGGGAAGAGAAACTAGCTTCCCAAAAATGTAGATGACTTATCCAGGGTCACGCAATGGCAGTAGGTCATCAAGGGAAAGGAGGTACACTCTTGCGTGTCTGAATTTCCTTGCTGTGCTGAGAGGCAGCCCAAATGGTGATGGAAAATAAGTTATCAGCTCCCTTCACTTCTACCAGGAAACTCTTCCTGTCTTAGCTTCCTCCTTCTCGCCAATCCTTTTTGCTCCCTCCTTCTTTCTCTCTTCTCTTTCTCCCATCCCTTATTCCAATCCCTTCTGGCACCTTCCCTGAGTGATAGCAATATAAGCATGAGGAAGGAGCCTGTGTCTCTTTCTCTCTCTCAACTTATGCCGTTTATCCTTGCCTTGTAAACCTTTCTAATAACTCATAGAGATGGCACTATAATGGGTTGACAGGCAACTGCTGAGTTTGGACAGCTCATGACACAAGAAGATAATCACACTAATGAGAGGTTGAGCACAGAGAGATCCAACCCTCAGTCACTGGAGAAAGGCCACAAAAAGGCAGGAGCAAATGTCCATTTCTGCCTCACAGGGGAAAGGCAACGATGAAATAATGATGGGTCCCAAACAATGCCACCATCTAGGAAGCCCACCTCCATGGATGTCTGAAACAGATGAAGACTCAGACAGGAGCAGTATCTGTGCAAAGCATTTAAGGTCCTTCAAGTCACGTCTGATCATGTCACTCCCCAACCTGAAAATCAGCTCTTCCAACCCCTGGCTTTTTTTCTGAGGCTGAAGCCTAGAATTCTCTTTCTTGGACCTGGTAGCCCTGCCTGATTTTTGCCTTGCTGACCCTCTGGCTCTCTAAGCTCTAGCTGCTTTACAGACTAGTTCCTCCACCAGCAATGCCCTTCCTGACTGCCTCACCTAGCTAACTCCACGTAACTCACGCCAAGTTTGGCCTATAGGTGTGATGAATTCCCTGACTCCTACCCTCTCCACTCCCTGCCACCCCCCAAAATCACGGGTCAGGTCTCAGAGCACCACAGGTCCTTAATCACCATGCATGATACTCTTCCTGGGTCTTGAAAGAGGCTGTCCTTTTAAAGGGACAATCTCCCTGCCTCCAAATTTTGATGTGCCTTCATTTAGATGTTTTTTAATTTTTTATTTTGAAATAACCTCAAACTTACAGAAAAGTTACAGAGACAGTACAGAGAACTCCTACCTTCCTTCATCCATTCTCATTTTCTCCTTCCTGCCCTGACCACTTTTCTCTGTAGAGGGACACATTTTTTTTTCCTGAATCATTTTAGTGTTCTTTGCCTTTACACTTAGCATGTATTTCCAAAGGATAAGACTATTACCTAACAATAAAGTTAGAAAATTCAGAAAACTTAGCACAGATATAATTCCAATGTTCCAGTTTTGTCAACTGACACAAAAATTTCTTTTATAGCATTTATTCCCCAACCCAGGACCACACAGTGCATTTAGCTGTCATGTCTCTTTAGTCTTGAACAATCTCCCAGCCTTTCTTGGTCTTTCACAGCACTGACATATTGGAGCAGTGCAGGCAAGTTTTGGGCGTTTTTTTACTAGAATATTCCACAATGTGGGTTTGTCTGAGATTCCTCATGATTAGTTTCAGGTTTTGCATCCCCGACTGAAATTCACCATCAGCGATGCTGTTCTCTCGGGTATGACATCAGGAAGCACATGACATCCATCCATCCCTCACGAGTAATGTAATTTTGACCAGCTGGTCATGATAACTAGCTTCTTCCCGGTGGTGGTTACTACATCTCTCCCTTGGAACTAATAAGCAATCAGTGAAGAGACACTCTGAGACCATGCAAATAGTCTGTTTCTCATCAGACTTTGCTTTCTCAATTTCAGCATTCATCGATAATTCTTGCCTTACCTAATCTTTACCATCAAGGTTGCAACGCCATCTACACATATCAGAAATAGTCTGCTTCTCATCAAACTTTCCTCTCTCGATTTCAACATTCATCAATAATTTTTGCCTTACCTAATCTTTACCATCAAGGTTGCAATATCATCTACACACATTAGTCAGCATTCTCCAGTACAGTTGAACCCTCTCTGTTCTATCTATCTATCTATCTATCTATCTATCTATCTATCTATCTATCTATCTATCAGTAATGACCTATAGATTCCTATTTTATTCCATGGTTATAATCCATGACCATCCTCAATTATTTTGATGCTCTCATGGTCTCTGTTTAGATTGTTGCGTTTGTTTGTTTGTTTGTTTGTTTTGTAGCCCTAGAGGAGAAGACTAGTCCTTATAGGGAAATATATCACCAAGGGGGCAGATTCAGACCTAAGAAAAGAAGAGCTTTTGAAGGATTCCAATTCTCCATGTTAGATCTTAGTTCCCTGAGGAGGTAATAAGCTACCCATCACAGTAAGTATTTAACAGAGTCTGTTGACTGCCTTTCATACAATCAATTCATGCACCAGGCTGGGGCTTTTAAAGGTCTGTTCTAAAACTTAGAGCCAAGAGTTGTGGCAGAATCCGGGACAGGAGGAGGGTGTGACATACAGTTCAGAAGAATGTTCAGAAGAATGCTGAATCCCAAGAAGGGGAAACCTCCAAGCCACCTGTTGGAAAAAATTCGATCCAGACTTGCAGAAGCAGGGGCTGCAGTGGATAAAATTCTCATCCCTAATCCTTGCTACATGCTGTGAACCCAGGAAGGAAGATGACTCAGACCCAAGCCCAACAGAGCAGCCGGCAGAATGATAGAGGAGGGTCCCTCCAGCTGCCTGGGGGAGCTAGGAAACGCATCAGAGAGAAACTGACTCTTCAGGAATGGAGAGGATCTCTCCAGTCAAGAACCACTACAATTCTGTCCAGCACGGCAGTCACGAGGACTCCAATCCTGGGAAAATTTTAGATAGATACATAGACAGACAGACAGATATAAATACACACATATATCCTTTTTCCATTTTATTTTACAGGACATGTCAGAGAAAAGCATGGACCTCAAAAGTAAAGAGTATAAGTGGTTAATAGTTCAGCACCCTGCCCTGGCCAGGTAGCTCAGATAGTTACAGCATCATCCCGATACGCCAAGGTCGTGGGTTTGATCTCTGGTCAGGGCACACACAAGAATCAACTAACGAATGCATTAAAAAGTGGAACAATAAATTGGTGTCTCTTTCTAAAAAGGAAAAAAAAAAGTGTGGCACCCCGATGGGAGAGTACTGCTCTTCCTCCCTTACTAAGAGATCTATGTTCACAAGGTATTCTACGATTGAAGCTCTCAGCTGGCTGGCAGGCGGCCTAGGGGAGAAGTCAAACCCACAGGAGATGCCCATGTTTAACCGCCTTCCCAGCTCCCCGTCATCCGGGCCTCTGTTCCCCACACCCAGAGCAGAGGGTGTGAGCCCAGCAGGCAGGGCTGCAGGTCCAGGTGTGGACATCCGGCCTTACTGAGGAATCTCTGGCCAGAGCCAGCCTCTCCTGCAGGGTGAGGGAAAGCAGCGCAGTGCCCCAAGGGGCAGCCTGGATCACTGGTACTAACTGGAGCCTCTGGAGTCATACTCCAGTAGTTTCAGGCCCAGAGAGGGAACTGTCAAGGGAAACTGATGTCATCCAAATAGGTTCAGGGAAACACCCTCTAGAGCAACAATAAAAAACGCGGTAGCTAACATGTCCATAGCATTATTTTCAGTACATCCATGACATACATGCTAACATTGGCCTCTTCTGGGCCCATGGCAGACATAACTCATCTATCATGACACACTCTGACACTGATACCCCGGTCTCATCACCCTTCTCCGCATGCCTGTCAAGGCAGTGCCTACCAAATGCTATCTTAAGACCTCTACCTTGCATTTCTTAAGACTGCCACAAAAGCCAACAAAGCAGGCATGGCTGTGCCCATTTTAAATATGGGGAAACAGAAGCGGCAGAGGTTAAATGAGTGTTTGGAGGTCTCACAGTCCAGAGGGATGGAGCTGGGATGAGAGCAAGACGTCTGGGCACTATCCTTTCCCACTTTCTGTCTTGCTGCCCGTGCTGAAAGCAAAGACAATTCCTGGTAGAAACACTGCACAGCCCAAGGCTCAGGCAGAGTGGGCCCATGGGCCTGACGTGACCCTGCTGATACGGAGACCCAAACCCGGCTCAGATGCGAGTCATCTCTTCCATGAGGACCTTGCCCAGAAGATGCTACTCCTTTCAAGATTACAAGCCTTGCACACCTGCCTCCATTCCCAGCAAGGAGCACACTGCTGGCCACAGTCAGGCTTCCATAACTAGTTCCTGAACGGAGTGAAGGGAGGAAGTGCCTTGTACTGAGCTCAGTGTCACTGGGGTGAGAGGCAGGTAGAATGTGGCCAAGCAAAGAGCAGAAGTTTGAGAAGCAGGCTCACCCAGCTTAGACTCCCCTTGCAGGCTAGTCCTATGATATTGAGTTTCGGGCTCACTGGGCCTCAGTTTCTGCATCTGTAAAATGGGATGAACACTGCCTACTTCATAGAAGTGTTGAGGAAATTAAACAAGAGAAATATTTAAAAGAGCTCTGTAGGAGAGATGATGAAGAGGAGGAGGAAGAGTACAGAGTGGAAGAAGAGGAATGTAGCAGATGGCTGTCAAGGTGACACCCAAGACTCCTTTCGTTTAAGTTTAAGCCCTGGTACAATACCCTCCTGTTGAGTGTGGCAGGACCTAGGACTTATTTCTAACCAAAGAATATGACAAAGGTGACAGGATACTACATAATATAAGGTTCTTTCTCCCCACAAAAAACTTTCTCTCTCGCGAACACTGAAGAAGTCAATCAAAGTGGCCATGTTGAGAGACCCCTATGGCAAGAAGCTGAGAGGAGTGTGTAGGAGCTAAGAGGCGTCTCTAGTCAACAATCAGCAAGAAATCAGGACTCACCTCTTTTAATAAGGAAATAAATTCCACCAACACTCTGGATGAACCTGACCCCTCCCTGTTCAAGCCTCCAGATAAGAGCTCAACCCTGGCCAACACCTTGACTACAGTCTTGCACAGGCACCTGGTTAAGTCACGCCTGCACTCCTGATGCGCACTGAAAGATAGTAAGTATATGTCATTTCAAACTAAGTTTGTGGCAATTTGTTTACAGTAACGGAGACCAATACAGGGAGGGAAGGAAAAAGGAGAGGAGGAGAAGGAGGACCAATGGAAGCCAGCCTGAAGAAATCACTCTCAGGACAGCAGGGAAGCTCCTTTCTCCTTGAGTGGCAGCCAGAGTCCAAAAGTTTCAGCTAAGGGCCAACCAGCCTGTGTGTTCAGGTACAATCCCCACAGTTGTGAGCAGAGCTACTACTATACAGGGCTACTTACTTCTCACACTTGAAGGATATGTGACTTTTCTACAACAATCCTGCCCAAGGGGCTGGCACTTCTTTCTGTCCTTTCCCTGCGCCTCCTCTCTTGGCATCTCTTGGCATAAATTCATTGCTGCCGGCGACAACAATCAGCCTAATGCCATATAATTGACCTCCTGCCTCCTCGGTCTGCTCTGAGCAACCAGGCAGGACCACTGGGGCACATCCCTTAAGGCCCATGGCAAAGCTAAGCCCAGCCTCCACCCACGTGCCTTCCTGGATGAACTCTCTCCTCCCAGGGCATGGCCAAGGCCCTAAAAATCCCACCAGCCAGTTCCCCTCCCCTAGTGTTAAAACCAGAACCAGCCCTCTCTGGAGTCTGCTCTTCTGATTTCTCAAACTCAATCAGAGTTGGCAGGACTAAACCAACCCCTTGTTGCTTTTTTTAAAACCTTTTTAAAAAATATATGTCCAGAGCTATCCACACAAAAATTAGCAACAGAGAACGGGCAAGAATGAGAGAATGCGAGCCAGCAAGGTAGTAGGAGGTAAGAAGGAGAGCAGAGAGCCCCTCCCCAAACCACCAGCACTTCCCTGCAGCCTTGGCCAGTCTTTCTTTACAGAGGATCAAGATAAGATTGCTATGTGGGTGTTCGTATGAGGACAAAGGAGTTGGTACCCACACTCCTGAGCACAAAACAGTCCAATACATTCTCAACATGTGTGACAGAAATACTACATTTTTCTTAGAGAGTGCAGTGTTCCATTCCCTTTGCCCGACTCAACCCTCAGGAGTCTCCACTGTAACTGATCGATCGCCAGCATAAAATCTGCTCTTACCCACAACCTGGATGATCTGAGCCAGAAGAACACCGTCTGTCACATCTTGCTGGAGATCCTTGATGAGACGTTTGTGGCCTGATTTGGCTAGATAATGATTGGCCCAGTCCGTGTAGATCTGCAAAAGAGCAAAGAGGCAACTTTAGGAAGCCAGTCAGACCCCATCTGGGTCTGAGGCAGCTGCTTGGGCCTGCGTAGCCGCCCCCGTCCCGCTGGCGGTCTATCCGGGGCCAGCCAGCGCCATTAACATTCAGTGCATTGTACCGATGGGGCATTCAGCAACCGTAGCTGGGCTTTCGCCTATTGAGAGATCTGCCATCAAGGCTCAGGGAAAAGCTAAAGAAAGCTTCAAAACATGCAGAGGCCTGAATGGGACAGGGGACACGGAACTAAACAGTCTGCGCCAGACGGCTTTGAGAGGCTAAGGCTCTAAATGCAAGAGAGGTCTCCCCACCCCACCTCCACCACCCTGCCCCTCCCCATCTTTTTCTCTTTATTGAGAAAACGTATGGGGAGGTTACCACCCAATAGGCATCTTTTAATGGGCCATTTCTGGGTAAGAAGGGCTATTGAGTTAACCGAGTTCTCAGGAGCCTGGGGCCCTTGTTTAAAAAAAAAAAAAAAAAGCCAAGTACGAAAACACAGAGCCCCTCAATTACTCTTGTGTGAGCAGGGTTATTGATGGCCTCACAATAATCTCAAATTTAATCAGTTTAATTTAAAGGCAAGCATCATTTTCACTATTGGGATTCTGTAAACAAACCCCAGCAAATTCCACCATACTTAAACCCAGCACTGGTGTACACTGCACCCTGAAAGGCAGAGGCTGGGTCACCCATGAGACCAGGAGAGCTGACCCCTTGGCGGACAGATACATATAGCTGGTGAAAAAGTTTGTCACTTTTTTTCCTGTAAAATAAAAGACACATTTTTCATTTTTACCAATAACTTTATTGATTTGGGTATTTTGAGTCTGCTGGCTCTCTCCCGCTATTGGCTTCTAGGGGTGGAGGCCAAGGGTGATGCTACACACCTTCCAATGCCTAAGACAGCCCACAGCAGAGAAGTATTTGGCCCGAATGTCAACAGTGCCAAGAAACTTTGCAAACCACTTCTGACACGTTTGATCAGCCACAGCTCCTTCTCCCTACACTGCACGAATCTTTTTTTTTTCCGTTTCAGTTGCATTGTTACCTTTCTTGAAATAATAAAGCATAATACAATGAAAATTTTGCATATCTTCTTCATCTTGAATATTAAAATGGCTGCACAAAAATTCACCAATTTTGATGTTTTTTAAAAATCCATACTGCTACAACAGCTGTCACAATACAATCTAATTAAATTATTTCGAATGAAGTTGAACAACTAAGCGCTACCAGAGCCATCGTATGGAAAAAGCATAAGCATAATGGACTTTTTGGCCAACCCAACATATCGGACCTGCTCCTCTCGGTCACACTATCATCATCCCAAAAGGATACCTTCTTCCAAACAGGCCAAATAGCATGAGAAACCTCTCATTGAAATTTTGCCCCTAACTGACAGAAGCCAAATGCAAACAAAATTTAAGACCTCCTCACCAGTTTTGAATGCTAATTTCCATACATTGATTTGAGAAAACATTAGGCCCTGCTTATCAGCACCTTTTCTTCCCCAGTGATAAGGACAAATGACTGTTCAAAAAGGTAACTATCCTACCTCCACTGGATCATGTATTAGTACCAAGAGTTTACATCCTCAACGGTACGGTTTCTGCACCAGAATGAGGCAGGTGGTCACTGACTCTCCACCAGCCGGTCTTCTCTGAGACCCCAGCGCAGCGGAAGCCCTGCCTCCCTCCAAACTCTCGCCCTCCATCCTTTTCTTCTGAACCTCACGCCCAGAGTAATCCCGCACCATAGGATCCTCCCTCCCCTCAGGGCTCCTGGAATGGGGTCTGTGGGCCAGGGCCTGACCCTGCAAAGCAGAGCCCTACTTGGGGGGCGGGCAGGTGGTGGCCACATGGCACTTTTGACTACTCCACCTGGGACTGTGAGGGTGTAACGCCCAAAACACAAAGGCAGAGCTGCATTTCCTGCTTCGTCAAGATCTGAGGACAGACGACCTCTGCCCACCGCACTCCCACCTGGTAGCCCAGCCTTTCACAGCAGAGACCCAGGAGCACCCTGCACACGGCAGGGTGGTGCTATTTCATAGCTTGAATCGTTCTTGAATCCATGTTACCCTGCCCCGGGACTCTCAAGTTGTCAGCGATCAAAAATCTAATAAAGCAAGATCATTTTTAATTTTCTAAGCACTGAGAAAGCTAAGGAAATGGAGCACCATCTTCATCTAGGTCATTACAATGGCCAGTCGGAAATGTCAATGATCACTAAATGAAATGGTTAAGAGGGCAAGAATGAAGGAGAAGAACATTGAAAGGCAAAGAGGCAGACCTGTGTCCAAGTCCCAGTTCTGCAGGTTCCCCGAAGGCAGGCACTTAGGGAAGTTTTGGTCAGTGATGTATCCCAAGTTCCTGCCGCAGCATGAAGCATATTAGTTCTCAATATGCCTCTGTGAATGAATGGATATATGACCTCAGTTGAGCTACTTTTGAGGTTGTTTTCTTTTCTGTATAATAGGATCAATACTATCTACTTTTCAAATATTGTGCAGAGCAGCTTAATAAATAACACATATCATGCCTACTACATGCGGGGCACTGGTGAAAACACTTTACACATATTAACTCATTTAATCCTCATTCTATGAGGTAGATACTAGTATTGTGTCTATTTTTCAGAGGAGATACTGAAGTACAGAAAGGTAAAGTGATTTGTCCAAGGTCACAAGTAAGTGGCTGAGCCAGGTTTTGAACCCCTGCTGGCTGACTGACTATAGAATCCCTTAGACCCTACAGTGCTGCTTCTCCGAATATGCATATGAATGTGACTCAAATCATTCATCCCCTCCATCAACACTCTCCTACTGACTCTCAGCCACACCTCTATTCAGTTATGTTCTCACTAAAAGAATGTAAAAAAATAAAAACCCAAAAACCTAGTTTTATATCTTGCTGTCTAAGTGCCCTAAGGCCAGCAGCTCAACTTTTCTGAGTTTCAGGTTATTCGGCTGTAAAATGGGCACAATTAGGCCTACTAAGGAAGGTGGTTGTGATAACCCAATGAGGCGCCACGTGGAAGCCCCTGGCCTGACCCACACTGGGGCTCGGGAAGCAGAGGCCATAGAGTGGTAAAGGGGGGGGCTTTGGAGTCCACAGACTTACTTTAGACCTCAGCTGCCAGGCTGCCAGTCACCTCTGTGCCCTCTGGCCAGGTGTCCTCATTTACAGTATGAAGATAATCATGTCTATATCATCAGGCTATGAGAAGATGAAATGAGCTCATATACATAAAGGACACAGAATATGGCACATGCTAACTGTTCAGTAAATAAAAGTAAAAATTAGACATTTTACCACCAGCACTGTAAATGGGCCATAACAAAACCAGACACATCCTCTATCCTGAACCACCAGGATGCCCATGACTCAGGGACTCGCTCCCCTTGTCCTTTGCATGGCACAATTTTAAGAGTCTGGAGCATCCCTGGTCTGGAGTCACAAACTATGATCAACTGTGAAAGAAAGGCAGGCCAGAAACTGGCCAGGCTGGTACATAGAGAGGCTTCCTTCCCTAACTAGGGGAGGGCACAAGGACAATGCTCTCTCAAGACCTGGAGGGTCAGTGGACTCCAGATCTGGAAAGATCTGTGCACCTTCCCATGAGCTATGTCCAAGGGACCATGAAAGCTTTCCAAAGCTTAACACCAGCGGCCCCACGACCACCAGGTGAGGTGAGAAGGAGTCACAGACAAGGACACTGCCGAGTGAGAGGTGATGCTGGTGCCTCCACTCATTCCCTTGCTAGGTGAGGATGGGTACTTTAAAATAGAGGCGCTGTCTCTAAAGCCAGCCCTCTATGTGTCTGGACAATCCAGCAGAAACACACAGTACCGAGCCCTGGTGAGGCCAGGAAGGTGTCTAGCATGCTGGGGAGAGCTTTTCATGTTCCGCGGTGGTCAGAAATGGCTCTGCCAAACAAAAGAACCTCTCTGCCTCAAGCTGTTTAAAACAAGAGCTCTTCTCTCAACTTCAGCCTACCCACACACCGCTGCCACCTTAACCTCCCAGAGCACGGCTGATCGCCTGCTCAGATCATCCGTGCCTCCCCACTTTCCACTGAACTAAAGTTGTCAGAGATCACACTGAGATTCAAGGCAGTCTTACCATCCCCTGCTCTACCCCAAGCCACTTCTGACCCTTTGTTTGGGGGAGGTGGGGGGCGGGCAGGCGGCGGCAGTACATGTGGAAGTTAAGGACACAGGCTTTAAAATTGCCCAGGCCCTTGGTTCTGGGCAAATGAATTTCTATTAACCTTGATTATACCTCAGTTTTACCCTCCATAAGATGGAGATTATATCAAATATAGCGGTACCTCGGTACTCATCATTAATTCATTCCGGAACTTGTGACAATTGCCGAAACCGACAAGTACCAAACGAGTACTGAGCAAGCAATGAGGAGTGAAGCATTTTCTCTTGCGGAGTGGCGTCGTGACTCATAGAAGTTCTAGCAAATGCAACGAGTCCTGAGCAAGCGCCAAATGCTGAAACATTTTCTTGTTGTCAAATGTGGCAAGTACAGAGTTTGAAGAGCTCTGAAAACGACGAGTACTGAGGTATGACTGTATATCAGACAAGAGGGACTGGCAAATTGGGACCTGGGCCAAACACAGAAGACACCTGCTTCATAAACCAAGTTCTATTGGGACAGTCACACCCATTTGTTGTCTGTGGCTGCTTTCACGCTACAATGGCAGACTTGAGTAGTTGTGACAGAGAGACCCTTTAGCTCACAAAACCTCAAATATTTACTATCCATCTCTTTAGAAAAAACAAAAACAAAAATGTGCCACTCTGGGACTGAATGAGATAATATGTCTACACATATCAAGTGTGCAGTGGTAATAATAATGACGACCCTCAGGAAAAAGACATAGCTCATGTTCCCCTGTCTCTGAACTCATGTCGCCCCAACCTCCTAAGTGCCTCCGTCTGGGACCACCCTGCAAGGCC